CCCTGGTAAAGAGCAGAAATCTATTGCAATTCAATAGCTTGTGCTTGTGTGTTTGAATTTTTCTCCCCACTTTATACTTTTCTGCTTTGTAAAAGACCTTGCAAGTCTAAGTCTAGTTTTCAGACCACTGTGTCATATCATCTCTTTCATAAATGAACCAAGCCCTGCATTAACATTAGGTTAGGTTTCCCTGTTCTCCACTGATTTTAGGAAAGGCTGTTGCAGAACTTCATGCTTGAATGCTTAGGACAGAAATTGGATGGCTTCTGAACACATTTATGGATGTTTTATACCCTTTTCTTGGTGTGTGAGTATCACCCCTTAGCTGGGAGCCTTCCTGTGCCCTGAGATTCTCCTTTCTGGAGTATTTGAAAGAAACACTTCTTTACTGTGAGGGTGCTGGAGCACTGGAATAAGCTGCGCAGAGAGGGTGTGGAGTCTCCATCTCTGGATATGTCCAAAACCCACCTGGATGCTTTCCTCTGCAACTTGTTGTAGGAAACCTGCTTTAGCAGGGGGGTTGGACTAGATGATCTCCTGAGGCCCCTTCCAACCCCCGTGATTCTGTGATCCTGTGATTTTGTGGCTGTGCCCCGGTGAGCAGGAGCAAAGTGGCTGTATGGAGAACAGTGTTTTTGGGGGTTCATTTAGCCTCACCGTAGCCTGGTTCCCAGGGCTGCCTGCCTGCAAGGTGGTACCGTGACTGTGCTGTATGTCTTTTAGTGTAAGGGTTAGTTTAATCCGAATTTGGGTGCAGGTTGTAAGCCCTCAGGGTGCTTGGCAGTGAGGACCAATGTGGCCAGTGAGGAGATTTGTTTCAAAAACCCCCTTCAGAGGCAAGGGAAGATGCTAGTGTGGACGTGCCTGGGGGAGCCTTCAGTTCCGATTTGCCAGGTTGAAGTCAAGTTCTTAGTCTTTTTTATGATTATCCTTGTGGCCATTTATTGCGCTTGGTTTGAAGATTAGGAATTGATCTTTTCAGAGTGGACTGGGCTGAAATGCCATGTGCAGTTCTGGATGGAGAAGACTGGGAAATTGTCCCATATTCACTGCAGTAGTTCAATAAATCATTAAATAGCAGGGGATGGCAAGGGACAGAAACAGTTTTCTTTCTTTTTCTCTTTACTTTTGTACATTAAATAGTACTGTGTATTTAACATAAAATTGCTGAATTGCCCCTAGGATAAGTTTAAAGGATTCACTTAATCTTTTTTTAAAGTCAAAATATGAGAGGTAAGGGAAAAAACCCTCAACCTTTTGCACCGAGGATTTAGGATTTTAATTTTCTTTAAGGTCAGTTGGTGACTTGATTCCTTACGCTGCTGCTGTTTTTTTTTAAATAAGTTTCCATCTGCAGCAGAAGCTTCTGGCTTTTGAGTAATGCTGAATGTATTAAAGCCATCTGATAAACGACAGGGTTTTACTTGAATGTCAGAGTATTAACCAAGACAAATTTGAAGGGAGATGCACAACACTGAGCTGGTGAAATCATCCCAAAACATGATGGTTGGCTCTGACAAAGGTTCACACGTTCTGGCTGGGCTTTTTTTTGCCTCCCCACAGAGAAGATACAATGTGGATATGGGGCTGGACTTTCATTTCAGTGCCATTTGGATGAGTTTTGGTATTATTTTGCAGGGTGGCGTGGAAAATGCTTGTCTGGGAGTAACTTAAGTCGTCTTCTCTTCCTTTAGTGCCAGATAGCAGCGCTGGCATTATTCCCAAGACCATTGAAGTGTCACTCTACAAGGAAGGCAACAGCTTTGGCTTTGTGCTGAGAGGTTAGTGGCTTTTCCAGGGGAATACAAAGACGGGATAAGTGCTGGCAGAAGTGATTTGGGAAGCGGGAAGAGAAAAGTGAGAAGATGAATGCCAGGAACCTCAGCTGAGAAGTGAAAGTGTGTCCTGCAGAGCATCCCATGCAGCCTTCAAGGACTGCCAGCTACCTAATCCAGGGCAGTCTTTTTGCTTTCAGGCTGTGTCAGCTGTTATGTGATAAATGTCTGTCCTTTCTCAGCACTCTCATTCAGACTTTCAAACCTCCAGTGACTTATGGTTTTCCCACTTTGATTACAGGGGGAGCCCATGAAGACTGGCACAAGTCCAGACCGCTGGTGCTCACCTACGTGAGGCCAGGTGGCCCAGCAGACAGGTAATGCTCGTGTTGGACCTCCAACATTTGCTTTCACAGGACAGACCAGCAGCTCTCACCATGCTCTTGGACACATGTCTTTCTTGTCCTCCTTGCTGGTGCCTCTCCAAGGCTTCTCATGCTGGTGGAGTGGAATGTCACAGGTGGTGTGGGACCTGTGATGTGCAGGGAGGGTGGATCCAGTGCTCAGTGATCCATGTGTAGATGTTACAGTTCTTAGCAGAAATTACTCTTCCAGAGGTAGCCACTTAATTAACCCTGTGCAGATAAAGAGTTGATACTGTGTTAGAAAGCAGGAGGCAGTCTATCTATTTTCATGCTGCAAATTTGATATAATGAGCCTGGTACTATAAATAACCCAAACTATTGTCCCAAGGAGTGTTACATTTCTACAGGATCAAAGTAATTGACTTTTATATGTATACATACACACAAAAATGATAAATATATATATAAAATATATACATATATATGTGTATAAATATATATAGAAAATGTGTCTAAATATAAGTGAATACATATATATATACACACAGAAAAAAAATTTAGTAACTTTTTCCTGTGGCTTCCTACAGGGAAGGTTCTTTGAAAATTGGGGACAGGCTGCTGAGTGTCGATGGGATCCCTCTGCACAGCATGACCCATGCCGATGCCCTCAATATCCTGCGGCAGTGCAGCCAGGAGGCACTTTTCCAGATTGAGTACGATGTGACCATCATGGGTAAGGCCAAGATGATTGTGGTGGCATTTTCTGACTGTCTGGAAAGTATGCGAGACTAGAGGCAGCAACTGGGATACTCGGTTTCAGTGGAAAAATGTCTGAGCAATGTGCTCCAACATGGGTGTAGGGGGTAGAGTTCAAAGCCGGCTTAGTTGAATGCATTTGAAATGCCCTTATCCCATGATGTGTCGTGATGATGATGGTGATGACTGATTTTAGAGACGAGGGAAAAAGGGCAGTTTCTAACGTAGTCAAAGAGGGCATAGGAGAAGTTGGAGTTAAAGGGGGTTGGAATGTTGGTGCTGCCCAAACTGCAAACACTGCTATTAATGTGTGCAGGGGAGTGAGCTACAAGCAGGCAGTGACTTGATGTGGCTGTGCCTTCGGTTCTGCATTTTGACCCTGCTTAGTTCTGGAACTGTTCCCTTTCTTAGAAACGTTCAGCTCTGCTCCTGAAATAAATGAAGGATGATCAACTGATTGACCCCAAATAAGAATTTACTGGAGGGTCAAGGGTGGATATTCCTAAAAAATGTTCTACACAGTAGATACTGAATTTGAGGATTTGGAGGGTTGATGGCTTTTTTTTTTTTTTTTTCATTTGATTTTCAGTTTCAAGCTCTGGGAAATGATTTATAATTAGCTACTGTAAAGTCATTTTGAGCTGGCTTTGTGACACACAGCTGTTACTGGAGGGAGCGTTGTTAATGAGTTTAAGGTTACCACAGAGTCCGAAGCTGTGTTGGCTCTGGGAGCTTGTTGAGCTGTGCATTAGACTTTGATGTTGCATATATGTCTCCAGAGGGGTTTCTGCCTCCACTGGAGCCTCAAGCTGGACTAGTTTGGAGTTTCTTCTGCAAATCTTGCAAACCAGTCCAGCATGTCTGAGCCTAGGATCCAGGGAGGAACAGGAATCCATGATATCAGGTTGTTTTCTGATTTGCTAGTGAGGAGGGAAATCAAAAGGATCTGCAGCTGAGAGAGTTTAATAACCACCTCATCCACAAAGAAAGAGAGCTGAGAATGCCAGAACTCACTCCACACAGTGTGTGAGAGGGTTGCTCCAGGATAAGAGAGTTCCTTGAACCATCCCTGAGGGCTTTCTGCTTCCTTGGAATCTCCTCCCCCCAAACTTTCCCCTTCCTTTCAGCGGAAGCTCCACAAGTGTGGATGCACTGGGTATCCCCTGGGGCCAGAGGCTGCCAGGACCTGGACAGCTGTGTGCCACGCAGGCACCTGCTCTGCTGGGAGAGCTGCAAGGAAAACCTGATGCCTTGGCTGTTGCCTACAACCTGCCTGGCTTCTGCCATGCTGCAGGAGCAGCTTCTCTTTAGAAACTGGCTGGTTTTCATGAAAAAGAGGAAACGCTTAAATAATGGAAAACAGAAACTACCCGAACTCTATTTTCTACTTTTCTATATGATTGTGATTGTGGTGCAGTGGCCAGTAAGGGATGTCCATTCCTCTTCTCACAGGCTGACTGGGCTGGCAGCTCTGCCTGGGGAGGGGGCAGGTGGAGTTAAGGAGAGATTTTGCATAAAGCTGTCAAGTTTGAACAGTAGCAAACAATTAATGGTGCCTGGGAAATGGGCTTTTTTTGGGTTTTGTTGTATGGTCCCTTGATGCCTATGTTGCGGAAAGTTGGTTGTTTTAAAACCTGACTTGGAGCAAAAATAGCCATAGTATTTCTTCTTGAGTAACTCTCTCACCTAAAACTGCTTGGGTTGAGTGAACACAGAGCAATGGGCAGGGTTTTATGCAGTGATTCTCTGTCTTGTATTGCTGTATATTGGACCATGGCCAGATACTTCCCAAGATGTAAAAACAACCCCTTTCTTGGATAATTTCTGCGTAGAGAGTGCTTCTCCCTAACCCTGTAAAGGGATATACTTGCCCTGCTTTCTTTTGAAGAAAGATGATGCAGAACATGGAGCTTAAAACAATCTCTGCAGATATTTCTGCCAGGCAACAGCTAATAACTGCAAGAGGGGAGGAGTGCATCATCCCCAGTGCACAACTAATACAGACATTCTCTTTACCAGCCATGGGAAGATGATGAGGGAAGGGAAGAGCAGTGTGGGGTTGTTATTAGCCTGAAGGGAGCACTCCTAATTCCTATTTTGAAAACCTGGGGAAGGGGCTGGAGGGGGACATGTGACCACACAGTTGTCTTGATTCATTCTAAGAGCTGGGGATACCACCATGAAGTGGTGCTTGACCTGTTCATCCCTGAGGAAAACAGAGGTTCTGGCATCTCGCTCACTCTCTGCTGCAGCCGTACGTGCTGGGGTGGTGTGGGCTGACCCTCAAGGAGGGAAAATTGTTTTTCCACATCTGTCCTTGGTGAGACACCAAGGCTGCTGCGGAGGAGTGTTGAATCACTTGTTGAATCAACTTGTGTTCCCCAGTTGGCCGAGTGGTTTTCCAGCCAAAGTTGTGCGCTGAGGATGAGCTGTGTGGAGTCAGCCCCACTCTTGGTGTGAGGGATGTGGCAGCTGCTTGACACCACCACCGAGCATCCCCCAGCTGCCAGGATTTCACTGGGGAGGCCAGCCTAGGATGGAGCTGTGACAGGCTTTCAATCAAATTGGCTGAGATTTCTCAAGGCCACTGAAGGAATTAAATTAGTCTGCCATTTCCATTTAAAAGGAGTGTGAACTGGGCAGGCACCTCCCTTGGGCATTGGGAAAGTCTCTGCCCTTTGCTGATGCCAGATAAACGTGGCAACAAACATGCTTTCCTGTGGTGACACTCTATGTTATGGGCCTTTTAAAAAAAGAGGGGAGGGGAGAGAAAAAAGAAAAATAAAAATAAAAAACCAAACCAACAAATAAAATGATCATCCAGAAACTGGTGGCATTTGTCTAGGTACTCTGTAAATAAGCTGTGTGCCATGACAGGAGGCACTGGGCTGCAAGCCTTTAGGGTTGACTCATGGAGGGGGGAAGCTCTCTGCCAGAGATGACGAATGAGCAAAACCATTTGCTGTGTCCTCCTCCTCCTCTCTTTCAAAAATTCCCTTGGCTGCCCTTCCACCCATTTGTTTTTCGGCTGGAGATTTTTAGGTCTGCACGGTTCTCCTGCTGATGAAGTCGGGGGGCTGGTAGTGTCCCCCCCCTCCTTTCCCCCCCCTGAGCCTCCAGAAGTGCTACTTACACTCTCTCAGCTTGCAAGGAAGGATCTTGCTTTGAGTAAGGTGAGATTTGCTGTGAAATGCAGGAGAGCTGTGGATGCCTTTTCTGCAGATGCACCTGATGGTGCAGAAACAAGTCATGGTGCCAAAGCGGCAACACCAATTGACTAATTGACTCCCTACAATAAGGTTATTGCATGGCCTGCCCTGGCCTCTCCGTGTTTCTTTTTAAATTAGTTTGGGTGTAATAGTTCCATGTTAATCATGCCTCACAAATATTGCAAAATTGCACACTCCCGACCTTTGATTTGAGCCAAATCTT